GTCAGACCTACACACGAGGTCCTCACGATCACTCGATCTTATTAGTCGTTATATAGCCGTGCTGGCATCTCTTCCGACGGCTGTTCTATCGCACGATTAATGTTTTATTACCATAATATTGAAATTAATATTCCGATAACACGCGGCGTACTGTGATTCTGATGTCCAATTAAAAGAAGAAAAAAATGATAACGGAAACTACAGACTTCCTTCAGTGATAATTGCTTAGTTTCTACCTTTGTTAAATGTAACGTGCACATCTTCAAGTTAAGACGATGAAACAATGATTTGTTTACTATACGGAAAGAATACGCTAAAGTATTCTAAGGTATTAACACAGTATATCTAAAAATTTGGCTAGATACAAATAAAAAATAATTTTGTTAAACTATCGGAATAATTATGTAAAATGTTCTAGTAAATTGTTGCTAAAATGTCAAAACTTTTTGCAGTATGCTCATTATATTTTAGCATCCTACACAATTAATTTAATGGTCCAACGAAATTATTTTTAGATCTGTATCTAGCTAAACTTTTATATATTTCAGCAAAATTATAATTTCCATAAACACACCACTCTTTAAAAAACGTATTATTTAATAATAAGAAGAAAGATAATTCATAATAATTAATAAGAAAAGACTTATACAGTTAATTATTAAATTAACGGTGAAAAGTGAATTATACTAAAAATGTGTTTGGATACATTTTAATTTGTTACGGTTTAATATAATAATGTATTCTGGTACAAACCGTGCTCAACGGAGCCTTGACTCAAAATTATGTTGTAAATGACAAGTTTTTTTGATGTCAGTATCGCGAGTCGTGTATCTGGTGAGCCTCTGAAACAGATCAGTATCGATGTAATCGATAAAAATATAACATTTAAACAAACGATGTTGCAAAGTGCATTTATTTAATTAAAAATAATTTTTAACAGAATAGCTTTGAATTTTAAATAATATTCTGAAGTTCTAACAAGACATTAATAGATAGATTTCTTCATATTTATTTTTAACGTCTGTGTAATTTATCTAATTTTATTCACAATTATATACAAAACATAATTTAACATATTATTTAAAAATATCATGCGTGTATATTAAATTGGTAATTTTAGGCATGCATATAAAACGAATCCCTGTAAAATTTTATAACAATCTATTTATTTTTTTCTTTAACTGTTACATTTTTTTCAATTTTAAATTTACATTTCTATAGATTAAGTTCAAATTAATTTTGTTTTGTTGTAACTGATTTTAATTGAAATTATTTCTTGTTGTTCTGGCTTTCACAAAAATCTTCATCACAAGGCCATGCATTCCAGAGTTAAAAACGTGCAATTCTTCACGACGTCAATAATCCTTTCACTTCACAAATCTCACGATCTCACTTACGAGACGAATTTGCCCGCCTTCATGTCGACGATACAGTCGCTGATTTGCGTCTCGATGATCAAGTCCGAGGACTTGTAACCGCTCGGCGACTTGGTCTCCTCTATCCATTGCGAGAACGGGCTATATATTCGGAGGTATCCGCTGTGGCTGCCAATGACGATGATGTCCTTTCGATCAGCGCCGAACAATGGCGTGATCAGCAAGCTGTGCTTATCGAAAGATTCATTCACTCCGCATTGCGTTCTCCACCATTCATTTGTCTTGAACAATGACATTTCCGATACGCTTCAAGTATTCGTCGGCATCGTGACACGGACAAGGACAAAATGCAACTAAACACTAGGGGTTTACACGCCGATGGTTGCTATGACAATATTGACGACGCTCCGCCACAACAAGTCAGCGTCTCGACGCTTGAAGCTAAAACTAATCGAAGACGCAACAAAATTGCGGTGTAACTCCACATTATCTAAATATCGTGAATGTCGAAGTATATGCGTATTACAGGTATCAGCAAATTATTGTATACGCAAATTACTGTCTAAATGGCACATGACTTTCCTAAGTTTCAAAACGGGTCTATGATATGTTAAAGAACTATACTTGCTTATTTAGCATATTTAATTTCCGCAGATTCAGTGACTTATTTTATTGACTTAGAGTTTTTAATAACTTTAAAAGTTTTGATTTATTTAAAAAATTTAATTGATTAAAAATATTCAATTTCCATTCAGCTATCCGCCTTTTTTGGCTTATAATTTTTAATATTTCAAAACCTTCGATATTTTAAAGAATTGTAATTGTTTCAGAATATATATATATATAATCAATTCGCGCAAATTTAATAGCATTTTCTGGCGTATATTTCTTAATACCTTCGCATTAACACTTCAATAAATTATAATTGCTTATAATGATATTTATTTCGTACGAATTCAATGGCTCGTAAATTTCTTTAGGTTAAAATTTTTAATAGCTTTGTAAAGACAAGAAATTTATCTTGTCTTTTGATTCTAGATGTTAAATGTAATAATTTAGTACGATATAATTTGTGTAACAATTCTGTAATAACACTATTCAACACCCGGAAAATTTTTTTGCGCTGGATACAATGTGTCGTTGGCAGAATTTGCATAACAGGATTTTAAATAAAATTGAGATAAAAAACCCGATGAGAACACGTAGTATCCACGTGGAATCCATATATTTTAACTAACCGTGACTACGTCACGGATTAAAAATTTATTCACATAATATCCATACATGGTTGACATTTCTTTGCCAAATCGAAATCAATTTTCATCGAAATTTTGAATTGTGGATTCTACGTAGACATTTCCATATAGATTGTAAGATGTAGATTGATACTATGAGGAATCTTGTAGGAAAAATTGATTAGAAATATCGATTGGATTTCCATATGGATTCTAGTACCGTTTTTGAGTGGACTGTCACGCGATTGTTAGAATTTTGAACATTTTTTTAATAACAAAACCTGTTTCTAAATAATTTCTAAATAAAATGTACATCTAAAAATTCAAGAGCTTTGAAATAAATTTTAATTCATGATCGCGTACGACTTATTTTCATTAAGGTATAACTATTTGAATTTTAAACTTTCTGTACCTATAATTACACGGTTTAATAAAAAATTATTCTTTTTTCTCTTTGAAATGCTATATTCGATCATACGCTTTATTATTTATAAAAAATAATATATACTTAGAATAAAAATTATAAGGTTAATATATTGAAAGACATAATTTTTCATATAGACGGAGTGTGATTATTAAAAATAAAGATGTATTCCCATTACAAAAAATAATCATTAATTGTTCACTTCATTTTGGTCAGTTTATACGTTAATGAATTATAAGTAATAAATTATTTTCTAATTCTGCTGTATAATTATATGTAAAGTCTAAAATTTAAATAACTATTAATAAAAATAATAAGTCGTATAATCACATCTAAAACTCATTTAAAAGTATTTGATTTGTACTTTTAGATGCCGTAGATATTATTATTAGAAATAAAATTTTTTTTGTCGTTAAAAATGTTAAAAACGATTAAATATACCATCCATACATAGAATTTACAGTAATATTGTTGCAAAATCTCTACAATATTGCTGCGAAGGCATTTTTTAATTCATTTTATCTTAATTTATTGAAAATTACGCAAATTTTGTCAATGGCATGTGGCATTGTGTTCAACACGAGAAAAACCTTTGGAAGATGTACTGGCACTTTGAAGAGAAAAAAAAGTAATTTGTTTGTTGAACAGAGTAATTTATAATTATGTAATAATGTAATAGAAATTTAGATATAATTTAATTTAACAAGCTCATATTTGTATTGTGTATAAACATAATAGTATATCTAATAACTCATTTTTGGTGAATGGGAAAAAGGTTTTATACCACAATAAAATACAAAGTCTATCTTTGTAGATTTTATTACACAAAAACTATGTATATATATAATATAAATAAAATATATGCACTGTTTAATTCAAAAATATAAATCACGATTATTCTTTTCACGATTAGTATATTTGTCGTATTTGTCAGTAATATATCTGCTATCCACATAATGTCCAGCTGAAAATTATAAATTCGCAGGATTCATACAAGGTGAATCAGAGTCGTTGAATCAACTTTTTATCCCATGAGAAAATCATCGACTTCATACCTTATTGAATTATAATGAATGCAGTCAATTATTTTCTTAGGGTAAAAAGCTGGTTCATCCTGTATAGTCTGATTCATTCTGTATATTCGCGCGAAATATAATCATATTTTTCTCATTGCGTAAATTGATATAATATCTTGTCAGCAGATGTCACTACAGTATTCAATTTCTAAATGACAACAGTTGGAATGATAGATTTCCATCTGCTTTAAAAATTTAAACAAAATATTATTTGTATATGTATATAACAATTAATAAATTCATGGTAATTGAAATAAAATTGTTGGAGAAGCAGACATAAGGGATTTGTCATACAAAATAGAATGAATTGAGAAAACGCATAATTAAATTTAAACGTATAATTAAATTTAACGTATATACTAATAGTATTTTGTAATTTTGTAACATAATCACTCATTGTATTTTAACACATCACTAGTTTATAAATTAATACACATTTCGTTAGAATTATTTCTCATGTCATGAAAAATATCTACGATATTGATTCTTACGTTTTGAAAGAATAGAAACGCTATTATATATAATACATATATGTAATAATCTTTATTAAAAGTATGTATTAATTATAAGTGTAGTTCTCTTTATTAGTCGACTTTAGCAAAGATGGAAATTTTTTTCGAAATTGAAATAGCTGCAATGTCAATACCATTGTAGTACACGTTGAGAAAATTTTGAAGGATCAGCTTTCTTTTTAAGTACAAGTAGAATTACATACACATTTTTTACTATCAATTTTTACTATTAATTACCATAATATGTTACATTAATATGTGCGCTAAATTAATATTGACTATCGGCTTTTCTTCGTTAAAATCGCGAAAAGAATCTGCGAAGTAATCAAGTTAATTTGTTTGCTACATCAGCAGATATTTAGAAAGTTTTAATTCTTTTAAATTTCGCCAAATAGATACACATTTTTCTCACAATAGTCTAATTTATTGCACTCGCGCGCGTCAATGATTCCAGATTTCCTTTCTTCTACCATAGTTGGAACTGTCTCTTCTAGCATATTCATACTTTGTCTGTAAAAGATTAAGATAGTATGTATAAAAGAGTTTTCTTTTTTAATATTACGTATGTATACAAGAGTTTTCTTTTTTAATATTACCTTTTGTGCCATAACAGTTCGAGAGCAAATATAATTACGCTAAATAGCGCTCCGTAGCCCATTGTGATTATCGCAAAATAGCATTCCGTAAAACCGATGGTGATGAAGCCAGTCTGACTCGAGCAAGTCGGTTTTTTTATGTATATACGATACTCATCGCGATACATAAGACCATATTCTCGTAGTTTCAAAGCTCTGAAAATACTTTTCTCGAGTACTATAATACTATTGGAATTTATCTGGCATTTTGCAACGCAAAAAAAAAATCAACATAAACTTACCCATTTTTTATTATCTCCAAATAAGGTGATCTTTTCGCGATTGCAATAACCGGGTATATCTCATTCAAATAATCAATCTCAGTTAGGCCACATTTCTCTTCTTCTCGATAGGTGTGCTGAATAATTTGATACATCGGGCTTCGTATACCATGAAATGCAAAAGGTTCATTTTTTACACGGCGTACTCCTTCTTCGAGACTCATCCAGTTCGATTTGTGCCCTTTCGGTTCAATCTTCTGCTCCACGATCGCTTTTCTGATAGGATCTTGAGAAGCCTAAATTCCAATAAAAAGAAAATTATTTTGTCAATATAATCATTTGTTATATAATTTTGTTTTAAAATAATTATCTACCTTGAAATACAATCGATTAAATACTACATCTTGTACTCCTAAATTTAACGGACTATGCAAGAGATCGGAAAGGGTTTTGATTGAGTCCGTGGTAGTTTGCAAGAGAGCCACTATATTCGCCGTGTAAGCTGCATAAAGGCTTAGCGAGGTCAGTAATAACATAAGAGTGATGATTCGAGATGGGATTCTATATGGCTCATACGAATATCCTATAAATGGAAGCAATAAAATTTCTCTATTTTTAGTTCTCATAAATACTTCAATGCATCATTATTTTTTAAAGCAGTGTTACGCAATGTGTCTTAAAAAAAGGCTATTTTCAAATATATAGGTATATATACATACATATATATGTATATATTATCATATATTTTATGACGTCGGACGATGTCTGGCGCCATTAGACAGCGACAGAATAATGTTATTATATATTGTAACATTTTGCGTAAAAAAAATAACTAAAATGATTAATTTTAAATTTTATCTCATCAATAACAAAATAAAAAATCAAGATTATTTATAAAAATCAAATACCTACTTTACAAATATGTCATACATTTATGTAATATAAATTATATTTTTAAATATTAAATCCTTAAAAATATACAATAATAAACGACTTATTAAGAGCATATATGTGTAATACATAATAAAAGCTCAATGCCTATTATGGTTAAAATTGGATTATGGTTTAAATAATTTCTATGTGAGTCGCAATCAAACATAACTACATATTTAGTATATAAATTTTCAAAGAAATTATTTAAAAAACATCTAAGATCCAGCTTCGACCGTAAGAGGCATTAAACTCTTACTTGTTGTAACTTGAAGATATTTTAAAAGGCATTTTAAATTTGCGTAAAATAAAAAATATAATTCTATATTTTCAGCTGTGAGCCGACGGATTGCTGGTTGCGTATCACTACTCTAAAGTAACTCTTTCGATGTAAATTTGAATCTTTATATTTCTCTTGTCCAGATTTTTAATCGTATAATCACGTGATCATTAATGAAAAAAAGATCAAAAAACAGAAAATATTAAAGGTTTTATTTCACTCATCAGAATAAGGAAATTGAGGAGCGATTCCAGAATATGTATATATAAGTTCTAATAATTCTATATAATAATAGATAAAATAAAAATAAAAAGCTTCTACTGTACATATTTTACAAATTTATTTTTTGAATATTTTTATTTACAAGTTAAGATTTATAAAAGCTTTTACATTAGATTATACCTTGTTGCGCAAATGCACCTAAAATAACGAGAAAATTATCGATGATTGTTGGTTTGCTAATATTTAATTGATTCCAGTAAGCTGCCGATTTTTTCGAAGTATTTCGATAGTGTTCCCATTTCATAGACATGTATAGCAAGCAAAAGACGAGAACGAGGAATATGCCGGTTGCTATCCAGACATTTCTTTGAAAGGGTAAGGTGAAGATGTTTTTTATGGTCGACAATAATGGTCGTCGGAACACGAAACACAAACTGCACAAAATTTATGTGTTACGTCAATATTAGTATTATATATTATATATATTAGATTTTGACAAATAATATATTGGCTACGTTTACAATGTAAACTTTACATCGTGGGCTTAATCCGCGATCTATACAATAGGTGTCCTTGTTTATCCTGTAGGTTAAACATAGACACATATTGTATAGATCGCGCACGGTGTAAACGTAGCTAATACTAAAAAAGATACGATAGGAAACATTAGAAAAACATTGGAAAAAAAATACAGATGCGATAGAAAAAATGTTAAATCATAATGCTAACAATATTATCAATAAATTACATATTAATTTTAATATAAAATCTGAATTTATAGATCCATTTAATTGACATGATATGCTAATCAAATAAATAATATGAAAAATTTTTCATTGGAATTGGAACTTCAAATACGTAGATAATATATTACAATAAATTGTAGTCAACAGAACTCAGAAACATCATTAGGGTAATTTGCGTTCAAACTTCGAAATGTATAACCATTTCTTGTAAATTATTTATTCAACATTGAAAATGACTCGAATGGTCGAAACATCTGTTTGAATATTTAAATAGATTATTTATTATTAGCAAACAATATCTAGCTTTTTGCTCGTAGCCTTTTACATATTTTTGTTGTAATTGTTTTATTTAATTGAGCATAATATAATATTATTTTATTAATATAATTATTATATATAGCTACACTGAAGAAATGTACTAAATTTTAATAAATATTTGAATATAATCATGTATAATAGAGCAATCAAAGTTTTGACTAATTAGATTTTAAGTGCTATTTTACCCAGAGCGTGTGTATAAATGAATGTATTCTAATATATGAATGCGATTCGTCAGCATGTACAAAGAAGTGCCGCCAATGTCAATTTCATGTCGTTGCAGCATTCCGACCATCCCATCCCAGGATCCATTATTAATACGTCCCCAATTGTTGGAAATGTCGAAACTTATTCTATAAAATAGAAGAACGAGATACTTCCTCGTGTTCGACGTTCAGATCTTATATTTTATTTTTGTGCTGATAAAGCGCATTACTTATATAGTTAAACGATTTCATTCGTACGCTAATTATAATCTGAACGAATATGATTTTATCAAATATTGTATAATTGTGTAATCACTCTAAATTAATTGACTAATAATCATGTTTTTATAATACCTTTATTATCATTTTAAGATTGCATTTAGGATTGTTAAATTTATAAAGTAATTGACAAACCGCTTTTTTATTCTTCTAAAATTTTCTTTATAAGCATTTTAACGATACCAATATATTTTACCGTCAAAAAAACAAAACTCACGTTGCGTTCATCCGATTTACTAAATGAAGTATCCAGATATAATTCAGCTTTGTTATAGGATCTATCATATTATATTTAAAATCAGTTAAGTGATTAATTGTGTCAGGATTTGTCATCTGTAAAGATGGAAAAATGTATTTCTATACGCAAAAAGTTTTGAATATCTAAAACTAAACATATAGGTTAAATTGTGGCGTTATTTTTTTTATTTTATGATAAAATAATAGTAGAATATATTATGTATATTATTAAATGCTTGTAAATATAATATCATATATCATTGATATGATAAGTACGTTTCATTGTACAATAAGTGCATGAATACGTGTTCAAAGTACCACGAGACAGGACTTAAGACGTGACTGCTGAAGATTCCTTCTTCTTGCCGAAGCCACGTCGAAAGTACTCATTTGTAAACCATTTTTGATTGTCCAGTTTCCACGATTTTCCCATATTACTGTCCGTTGTGGACTCGGTCGATATACTGATGTCAGTTGAAGAAAATCACTATCGAATCTTCGAGCGAATACCACGTCACTGTCAGGATAGATAGCTAAATCTTCAAATATCTCTAAGTTATCATATGTAGAAGTTACGTTGGCGTTATCGATCAACATTCTTCGATCCTGAAGGAGCAGCCACTTCGTCGGGGCGATGAACATTTTTTTCGAATGTGCCTATCGCGTAATGATCAGATAGATAATTAATTGATTTAAAAGGATGATAAAAAAATTCCCTATAATTAACTCATATATTCCATCAGTACATTAACATTAATGACTTCTCTTTTCTTGACAATGAATTGTAATCAATGCTGGATTGTGCAATCATGAATAAACATTGTATTTTTTAAGTGGCCAGAATTATTGATATAAATTATTACAAGTACACACATAAATTATTACAAGTTTTTTTTTTAAATAAGATGCTGAGGTTTTCACAGAAATTGTGTATTATACTTATGCTCGCATTTTACTTGCAACGATGTTTGACACCTACCTGTCGTAAAATTTTTATAGCATAATCACAGTTCAGATCTAGTACATACAGATTCCGATGTTCCAAATTGTTATAAATTCTTTCTTTAAGATCATCGACAAAGTTATGAATGCAATGTGCCAAATAATGATTCGACATTTCCCTTGATAATTTAATCGTATCATCTGAGAAAAAGAAAAGAGTATAGAGTATAAAATTCTTGAGATATTTTTGTACGCCCGGGAAAAAAATGTTATATTTATGGACATATTTTATATATAATTATATATAATTTTATATAATTGTATTACATATGTGAAACATTTTTTCGCGGGCGCCTTCTTATGTAAATTAAAATCATCATAATTTAGAGTGATGTAACGATATATTCTATTCCAAAATTAATAAAGTTCACAGTAATATATGATAGTTCATATAACGTTATGAATTTCAAATATGTTATTCAAATTAAAAAATTTCTCTCTTCCTCAATGTTTACTTCAAAATTTATGATTAGTTTTATTCTTTTAATCGTCATATTTTCAACAGTCTCGAAATATAAATTATAAATTCGAAAATCTTGCCATAGCTGATGCACGAGTGTAGAGATATCCTTGATGGCGAAAATAAAATGGGCGTCGCATCGACGATAAATTGTAGAATCACATCGTCGATTCGACGAGAGAATGTAGTGTCGAGCGATACTGCAAGGATGCATAGAACGACAAAAAACATTCCAATTGCTTTTGTATTCGCTAAGCGATTGCAAATAGATCCTTTCAGGATTGTCGACAGTATCGATTAGACATCCGTTATAACCGTAATCTTTTTGCGTATTGCTGAGTTGGGATATTCCCATTCATAAGAAAATCGCTTATGAATCCAAAAAAAATAAAAACGTAATAAAGGAAAATAGGTATAATAAGTCGATTATTGCCGCACATAAAATATTTAATGTTCGTGATGGACGCTACATTGATGCGGTATGTAGTTCGCAAAAAAAGGACGCAATGAAGAGACAATCGGTGTAATGAGTGGAATATTATCGTACGTAAAATATTTAGCATTTGTGACGGACGCTACGTTGATACAATTAATGTATAGCCCGCGGAGGTTTTCTCTAATGTAGCTTCGAAACATGTGATTTTAGGATTTCATCAGCTTTCATCGTTCTCACGATTCCCTTTCGACAGTGTAATTATTCAAAGCACAATTTGAGTAATGACAGTGCAAGAAATCCCGCTGCAAGAAACTCAGAGTCTGCATTATATTTTGTGTGTGAAAAACCGCAGCTGAGATTTTACGTACTCTACTATCACACAATATAATTTTTACGACATTCTTCTTACATTTCTGCGTACATTTTACCGATAAAATTTTTCTTGCATACCACGACATAAACAATTTTTATCATTGCTTATATGTTATATAAGAAATTTTGGTACAATAAAAGTAGAAATAGTGTTCAATTTTAAATATTGATACATCGACTCTGTTCATGACACGCGTAACTTTATGTTAGGAACAAGATTTACATTAGTATCTCTTCTTTTTAAACACGTTATAACGCAGCAATATAACTTCAGCAGTATAACTTCATGTGTGAATCTGTATAATATTGTAAATATACTGTCTTATCTTTGAATTATTCGTATCTATGTGCTGTATGCGCACAATCATAAGTAAAGCTATAAAATATAACAAGTTCGACTCACATAAAATTATTAGATTAAACGAATTTACCACTGCGACTTGTGCTACAAGTTATGTCCATCCGGACGAAACTTAAGGGAGCATAATTTATTTTGAACAATTTCCACGTCTATCCTATCTATCTTAATGTGTGTCTGTTTATAGCTTCCTTTCAATTTTCCGCAGTAAATGAGAATGGATTAAAATGGATTGAAATTTTTTTCTATCCGAACGCGCGTATTTTAAATAGCGAATATTTTTTTGGATTTAATTGGATTCAATTGAATTTAATTAGATTCAATTGGATGCAAATGGATTGAAAAACTGCATTTCCTATTCAAAATTTTGAATTGAACAGTATTCACAATTGCACACAAAAAGCTAATATTATTTTTAGATTGAAAGGCATAGAGATATGCTCCAATTCCTATAAATGAATAAAAATGCATTCAGGATTGAAAAGCATTCATTTTAACATTCGTGAATCAATATTTCTGAAAATCTGAATCTATTTCAATTTATTTCAATCCATTCTCGTTTGCTGGGTCATGATATTAATTGTAAGGTAACGTACATCAGTGACGTAATCAATAAGAAATATCAACAAAGGAAAAATAATCTCTTTATTATAAAAAAATTAACACTTTGATATAAAAATATATCGGACTTTTGTCTTATTAAAAGAAAATTCTTCTACAAAACAATTGCTTGATAAGTTTTGTTGACATCTTGCGTGATAAGTTAGTATTAGTATGTGTGAGGCAAGAGAGCTTTTCCCAGTCTCTTTATCAATCATGTACATGAATCTGATAATATCATGTAATCATTGATACAATATCATACATTCCAACATGTTCTATTAATATTCTCGATTATATGCACATTTCACATATTCGGAATTATCAGTTTACCTGCAATAGGATAAACAAGATTTATGAACGATTCTCTTCTTACAAATAATAACTCTGAGAGACAACTCGATATTCTCCGTCAGTTCTGCATTTTATGTACTGTATTAGGATGCTAATTATGCAGCGGAGGAAATTGATCATTAAAATTTACAAAAACATATTGACAAAAATATGACAAATTTACAAGAGATGATTCTCAATTTATAAGAGATCATATATAGTTTTTATTCAAATTATAAATAAAAGTAACAATTACATTTTTATTTAATATTTATTATACATACACAATATAATATGTATTTATTGTTATATAAAAGAAAAGTAAAATTGATATTAAAAAATAATTCTAATAATACCTATTGCGATGAATTATAGTTTGAATCAAAAATAAAGAGCAAAAGGATTATTACAAAAATAAAATTCAATATTCCATATTTTCACTTTAGATATTTACATTTAACGATTTTTACATTTAACTTTAATAGAAAAATTTAAATTATATGCATATTGATTTTATATTGTTCTAACGAAACGAAAAAAAAATTATAATTGCTAGTAAATTTTGCTGTAGTAGCAAAATCTATCAGTAATTATGTAAACTGCAAAAATTGTTAAGAATACTAATTGCTATTTGCCAATATAATTTTGCTAAAACTTCAAATTGTTTTGCTGCAAGAACAATAAATACATTAACTTTTAACTGTTTAATTATCAAAGCTTTTTTAAAACACATTTGCACATTAGCATACATTTGCACATTGCTTTGTAGTATTTTTTATTACGCTGTTTATAGAAATATTTTGTAACAAAATGATTTCGTAATATCAGTTGAGAATTAAATTCACGACGATCTTTTTTCACGACAGAAAACAATGCACAGATCTGACAGCAGATGGCGACATGCATTCTACTCGTCAGCTGATCACTTCTGAAATGTTTAGTTATCTACTTTAGATTATACATCGAATGATTTTCTCGATATATTCGAAAGAATGACACTTAATTGGAGCATTGTCATTAATATTTTGAATTGAATTAAGTAACACAATTGTGTAGGAAGAAGATACTTCAGGATGGAGCCTCAAGATATTTATTACAACAAAGCCGAATATGTTGAAACGGTAATAATCAAAGGAACTAAAGCATGCGACATTAATAAGACATTTATATTCATAATTAAGAATGAATATTATAACGTCACAGCCTCTGTTATTAAGAGGCAGATGCTATAAAAACGACTTAACAAATTTAATCATTTAATAACGTCTTGTATTCATAGATATTCAGAACGTGATACATAACCTCACTTTTTCGCTATTTTAGGCCTCTGGAAATAAGGTGAGCAGGCTGACCGTATTGTGTGGCTCGCAAAATATTGTGCTACATGGAAAAGTAATAGTGCAATCTGACGCTATCATTAGAGGCGATTTGGCCAACGTTAGAACGGGTCGCTATTGTATTATTAGCAAGAATGCTGTCATCCGACCGCCTTTCAAGAAATTCAGCAGGGGGTAAGTAAAGTTCTTTACTATATTAGTGTATGTTATATTGATAGCGCTATAATGGATATTAGTTTTAAAATTGAAACTGGCAGCTTGCAAACAAAAGCGACAATTATGCTAAATGCTAAATTCTGAAGTGGTAAATGTTACTTAGGGTTGCCTTTTTTCCTCTGACAATGGGAAATCATGTGTTTGTGGGAGAACGGGCAGTTGTAAACGCAGCATTGGTTGGTTCTTATGTTTACATTGGAAAGAATGCTATAATTGTATGTATAATAACTTTTACCTGCCAAATTGAGTGAGTATAGTGCAATTCCTTCACCATCAATCGTACTTGTCTCGCTACAGGGCAGACGGTCCGTTCTGAAGGACTGTTGCTACATTGAGGATGGTGCGGTCGTACCACCAGAAACAATCGTGCCATCCTTTACTCGTTTCGCTGGCAGTCCAGCCACGTGCGTCGAAGAGCTGCCTGAATGCACTCTGGATCTTATGGTAGACTTCACAAAGAATTACTATGAGCACTTTTTACCAGCACGTGTTTAATCCTCGTTTATTTATATATATACAATAGCGTTACAGTCGAAAGATTTATTCTTTTCAAATGTATTACATGTTTACGTTCTGCATTTAAGATAAAATAAATATAGCATACGTGATAGCAATTAGAAAATTTAAAAGAGTTACAGCTGAAAAAAATATAAAATCAGTCGTGTAAATTTTTTTATAATTAATGCATATATACTTTGTTATACTTTTGAATTAATAAAGAATATTTGAATCACTAAGAAATCGGGTTTAATAAATTAAATATACGTTTGCACTTAAGTATGTCTCGACTTAATAGATGTTGCTGTAGAATTATTTCCTTAGAGATCTGTGCTGTATGGATAACAATCTTTATATGTTGCCGTCATGGCTAATTTTAGCTGCAATAGTAGCTCGTAAGATTTATTTATTATACTATATAAGCAATTAATTTCAAACTGTATACGTAAATCAATCATAAAGGAAGTTTGTTTATTAATCACATTGTATGCATTTATTTTATAAATAATCTATTCCAACAGTGTTTTCTACATAAAAAAAAGACTGTTTAAACCTCATTAAAGGAGCTGTATCTATTTGATAATTTTGAAATTATATTAAATTACAACATATTACAATAATAAGTAACATTTATTGCTAAAGGACAAACATCTAACAAAGTAATAAGAATCTCTAACCAAGATTTTTATGAAATTTACAATTAGACTAAATATAGTGCAACAGAAAGCTGAGGAAAATCAGATGATTCTGAATTTCTTTCGAAGTAATATACATTTCTGCAGGTATTTACTCAAGATATTCCACAATGTCAATTTCTGCGTTTGACATTTCTTTTATTGCATGCATAGTTTGTCTACAAGAAAAAATATAATAGCACAAGGCATGGTAACAGTTTCTTTTATGGGAATGTTGAAGCAATGATCGAACTTGATTGTAATGATTGTTACAGACTTTTTAAATTTTGAATTAAAAATATCAGTTCCCTTTTCTGCATTATCATTTTAGTTTAGACATATTGTAGCACAGACAAATTGCAACTGATCTTTCTTTTAATAATTAGTTTCATAAACTCAATGTTCGTTATGTAATGTGATAAGTGATACCTCAGTTTCATACGAGCTATAGAACTTTTATGTTAAGAAAATATCTAAATTAAGTGATAACTCTACTAGCTAAAAAATGTAAGCTTTTAAACCTTTTTTCTGTTTTTTAGTATAAAATCAAGAGCCCCATTTCCTTATTTTGCATCTAGTATTATATAATCCCGTAAAAGAATTTTCTATTCTGTTCAACCAATTCGGAAATATTCATACATATGTCTACAATATGTCGATAAATTTCGTCACTCCAGCATCCCCTTAAATCTTACCTCTTATGCCACAATAACTCGAACGCAAATACGATTACAGAAAAAAGTATTCCGTAGCCCATTATGACCAGCGCGAAGTAGCATTCTGTGAAACCGATAGTGATGAAACTAGTTTGACTCGAACATACTGGTTTTCTCGTATATAAGTGATATTCCTCGTGATATGTGAGTCCGTATTCTCGCAATTTTAGAGCTCTGAAAACATAATTCCTAAGTCGAACGTTCCGAGAATTACTATATCATGAGATAGTTATTGCACGAGATAGTTCATGCTTATAGAAATAACGTGTCAATAAAATCTGGTTTTAGAAATATTTAATAAGTGTGTATGTAAAATGTGTTTTTACGACTTGTTGTCGTAAACACGATGTGTTTTAGACTTTTAACTTTCAAGAAGAACTTTTTTATAATTTAATGATTTAAAGTTCCTTGTTCACGTGAAGGTAATTAAAGATGTTATTTTTACCCATTTTTTATTATCTCTAAGTAAGGTGATTGCTTTTGTATCATAATCAGCGGATACACGACATTTAGAAAATCGATTTCGGTTAAACCGCACTTCTCCTCTTCCAAATACGTGTCTTGCATCAGTTGGTAAATTGAACCAATTTCCCCATGAAATGCAAAGAGTTCGTTTCTTACGCGACGTACACCTTCTTCTATAGACATCCAGTTAGATTTGCTTCCTTTCGGCTCGATTCGTTGTTCTACGATTGTCTTCCTAACGGGATCTTGGACAGACTATCATCCCGCAAAGAACTTATCTTTTTTTGTAATCTATTTTTGTATCTTTGCTATATGTTAATAATTTTTACGCCGTAATAAAAGTAGTATTTAACAATGAATTGTATAAGTATAATTATTAGTGATTATATTATTACATTATAAGAATTTTTTATATTATTAATTTTCGCGATTTTTTATTTACCTTAAAATAATGTCTATTATATACTACATCCTGCACGCCCAGATTTAAAGGACCGTTTAAAAGATCGGGAAGAGTTTTGATAGAATCCGCGGTAGACTGCAACAAACCCACGATATTCGCTGTATAAGCCGCATATAGACTCATCGAGGCCAGTAATAACATAAGAGTGACAATTCGAGACGAAACTCTGTAGGGTTCGTACCAATATCCTACAAAGTTTATACATAGAGAGAATATAATAATTTTATAAATTTCACGTTGAACGAAATGAAAATAAATCCATCGTAAAATGTAGTAAATGTTTTGGTTTACGTATTTGCACGGAAAAGATAAAATTTTGTACCTAGAGATTGTGGAATAATATTTGGGAATCATTTTAATAATATTCCGAGTCTATGATTATATTATCGAACAACTTTTATCTACCTTGCTGAGAAAATGCGCCTAAAAGAATGAGAAGATTATCGCTGATTGTTGGCTTGCTGGGATTTAGTTGGTTCCAGTAGGCTGCTGATTTTGTCATCCTACCGCGTAGGTATTCCCATTTGATGGATAAGTAGAGCAAACAGAAGACCAAAACGAGAAATACTGCAATTGCTATCCAGACGTTTCGTTGAAAAGGCAGAGTAAATATGTTGCTCACAGTTGACAGTAAAGGTCGCCGAAATACGAAACGGAACCTATGTAAATTTGTATATAAAATATTAATAAGTGTAATAAAATGAAGGCTAACAATAAGTAATCAAAATAGCAGTTTCAATCATCTTTTTTAGTCAAGTATATATTTAAAAGCTAAATTATAAATTCTAATTGAAATTTTAACTATTTCCTGCCTCTCCCAGCTGTTGTCTTTAGAAAGAGAAGATATAGAAAATCAATTTAATAAATAATCGTTTTACCTCGTATGTGTATACAATGGGATGTATTGAATAACATCCATACGTTCCGGCACGAGAAATGAGGGGGTACCGCTGATATCAATTTCACGCCGTTCCAACATTCCAGTCATTCCGCTCCAAGAACCATTCTTAGTGCGATATCCCCAATTGTTCGTGATTTCAAAATTTATCCTAAAGCAAAAATATTGAATTTTGAATCGGCAATTAACGCAATATGCTAACGAATATAACTGCTATACATATAAATATCAAATGTGTATATTTATTATATATACTTATATGTTATACATATATAAGCATTTGTATGTTGCTGAGCTGTATTTCGTAACCAGCAAATTCGACATATCGCATCTCGTGTTCATAAATTCAATATATATGACATTTTTTTTAATCAGAAACGATTATTCAAAAATATTAATAGCTTTTATCAAAATTCTTTCTTTAATATTGAAGAAAAATGTATTGATCGGCTAATAGATAGAAATAAAAAGTATAAACTGATATACAATAGAAATTGATATACATACATATAAAAAGTTGCTTCCTCTTTAATTAAATATTTTTGTACGAGTATTTATACGATTATCTAGACGAGCAAAGATTAAAAAAGTTATGTCGCAAAATTTACAGATTTAATAATAAATTTTGGACTTTAAGTATCCAATTAGAAACAGGAGTACATATTATACAATAATCATGCAAATTGTCTGTTATGGTAATTAATAAATATGTAATGCTTGTTTGATTAAACAAGTCGTTCAACTCATGCGTCTAATCGTGTAGTTCTCCAGTTCAAAATAATTTATCATTCTTTTTGACGCATGAAATTATCGCTCGATTACTTCACTTTAACCTCATTAATTAATCCCTAGTTCCAATTTATTACGTCGTTTGAAAGCTTGCATTCGTGATTTGAAAATTGACAAGACAATTCGTTATAATTGATCTCCGTTTCATGGATTTATTTCAAACACCTCAACAAAATATTTTGGCATAGGTATAGATTTCAAAGATTGAACTCACGTTGCATTCATTCGGTTCGCTAAATGCAGTATCCAAGGATAATTAGCCTTTGTGGGAGCATCTACGAATTTATCCTTGAAGTCAGTCAAATGGTTGATGGTGCTAGGATCCGTCACCTATATGTGTGCAATAACAATAAATCTTGAAAGAAAATATCTCTTCTGTTAAAAGGAAATTAGTACTTAAAATAGAGGCTACATCATAGCATTTTTGAAATTTATAAACATCACTAGTACTAGCTTTTCGTCTAATATTAGATGTTATATTATATACATATTACATTAGCTTGCTTACAAAATGCTTTGACGTCTCATTAGTATTTAAGTGCATAACGATTGTATTTTAAAAGTACCACGATACAAGATTTAAGAGCCGTCTGTTGAAGGTTTCTCCTTCGTGCTGAAGCCACATCGAAAGTGCTCATTTGCAAACCATTCTCGATCGTCCAGTTTCCACGATTTTCCCATATTACATCTTTCTGTGAACTTGGTCGATATATGGATAATAATTCGAGAAAATCGCCATCGAATCTTCGCGCGAGGATCACATCGCTATCAGGATAAATCGCGAAATCCTCAAAAATTTCCAACACAGAGTCATCATACGTAAAAGTTAAATTGACGTTATCATCGTTGTCGGTCATCGTTTTTCGATCTTGAAAAAGCAACCACTTTGCCGGAGCGATGAACATCTTTTTCGAGTGTGCCTATCATTTCACATCAGATATCGATAATGATAAATTAGAAGATTGGTATAAGATACATGACGAAATTGTGAGTCTCATCAGTCAAGGTATCAGCGAATGTAAAGAAAGTTTTTTTTATTATATAATGTGTTCGTAGACATAAATATTGTTACCTGTCGTAAAATATCAATAGCATAATCGCAATCTAAGTTCAACATATATAGGTTTTGATGTTCTAAATTATTGTAAATCTTCGGATTAAGTTCTTCGTAGAAGTTATGAATATTATGCATTAAGTAGTTGCTCGACAATATTCTTGATAATTTGATCGTATCATCTGCGAAAGGATATTACATTTAATTTAACTCCAATAAATATTTTTTATGCGTTATTTTTATTAATAAGTAAAGATAGAAATTGCACTATATATATAAGGAAAGAACGATTCTATGGAAGTATCTAAAAATTAAGCTAGATATACGTATGTAGATCTGAAAATAATTTTGTTGACTTATCGGTAGCATTTTTATCTGTTATTATTTCCGAGATAAAAGTTAATAGAATATATTTTTTTTAGACTTGTAACTTTTTGTTGAATAGTAAAATGGATAATATATCTACACGTCGTTCAATGACATATCAGAAAATGGATAAATCTACCTGAATAGTGAACAAAATGTAATACAAATAGAGTTAGATGTGCTGTATGCGAAAGAAAAGCCAACTCCTGGAAGATTGAAAATATATCTAAGTAATTTTCAGCAAGGATTGTCTATAGCTGTCTTTTATTTAATCTTGCAAGAACATTAAATGTCTTGAATAAATGTGCGTCTATTGCGAATCTTTATTCAACGAAGGACCTTTTATATTTAACTAAGAAAATAGAAAAGGAGACAATTTATGGTGGATTTTCTTTCTTAGGGTCTATATATTATTATCTCTCAAGAATCTCGTTCTCTTTTGTTTGCATATCATTTTTTTTTATTGTAGATTTAATGAAGGAGGAAAGGGTAAGAGAAGAGAGAATCTGAAATACATTGGGACATTTGCCTTGTGTTAGTACGTAAATTTGTCAAAATCAATATTCTCATATTACACGTGAGATAAATTCTCATATTTACACGTTTACATTTGTATTTAGAGACTCTGACTGAATTTCTTTTATTATTTATTATACAGTCTGTCTCGATATTCGCGAATAAAAAATACGGCGCAGCCAGAAAGTTCTCGAAAAAAATGAGTTAAAAAAGATCTTTGTCATTTTTCATTCCAACCGATAATTTTTGAAATATGAAAATTTAAAATTGATCAATCATTGGTCGCGTTCAGCAGATTTAATTGTTGCGGAACGGATCCGTGTTCAGTCTGCTACTGGATGATCTAAAAAAAATATAGCGAACGCTCATCGAACAGTTGAGGCTGCTGAACGCGTAGATTACGGTTTCAGAGACAGACATCCATTTAGCCATAATCCGTATGTGACCAATTTTAAACCGTCATACTTAAAGAACATGGCAAATACTTTTTTTAACTTATTTGTTTCCGAGAACTTTCTTGTTATAATATTTTGATTCGCGAATTTCAGGAAGAGCACCTTGTAGAAGAGCATTTTTTACTTTCTCTATTAGTGTATTTTTTGCAATTACAGCTAATAGTTGTTATAAATTTTGAATGCTTCCTTTCCCCTTCAATGAATAATTAATATATATAGAAATCATGTGAACATGCACGAAAATCTTGCCATAGTTATTGCATAGATGTAGAGATACTCTCGAAGGTGGAAATAGAGTGGGCGTCGCATTGACGATAAATCTTACGATAACATCGTCGACGCGAAATGACGCGATTACGTCATTGCCGAGTGACAGCGCGAGGATGCACAGGATAATGAGGATCATCCTGACTGCGTTTGTCTCCGCTAACTGCGGAAATTCTTCAGGATCATCGAGAGAATCGATCGTTTGTGCACCATAATCTCTCAATATATTCATGATTACATAGCGAGTTGCATAATTCTGCATTGTAAAACGAGTCCGCAAAAAAATGACGAGCAATCAAGTCAACATGCGTTATTACGACTGATGAAATATTCAAAATACATGATAGATGCTCGTTAACGTCTGTCAACAAATTATATACTTCTGGGTGCTTCTCGAGACACGAGTTCACCAGCTTTCCTCGTTCTCACGAATGCTTTTTCATCCCTCTAAATACACTATTTGAGACAATAATGGCAGTGTAAAGCATTGTAAATCCGTGAAGTAGACAGGCCTGAGAGACTTAGCCTACTCTCAATGTCGCGGTTATGGTTTTCGAAGGATTGTCTTGCTTTTTCTTATCGTGAAATAAAGGTTTGCACTCCGAGCACCTCTGGCGCATATGTTCGATGCATATATTCTCGTGTTGAACAGTAAATGCGATTATTATATCAGATAAATTTATTTCACATATATTAAGTTAAGCATTGTTATATTTTAATTAAATACGATAGTAAAAGTATAAGTAAAAGTAGGTAAAGAACTTGTTGTTTACGAAAGTTTCATTTTTTATACTCCTGATTAATGTAATGTATTAAATTCGGACTGTTTATTTAATTACTTTGTAAAATAATAATTGTAACAATAATGTAATTGTTGTAACAATTACCGAATTTCAGGAGTGAAAATTAAACTAAAGTTACTAACTATATAAAATAATGTAGTCAAAAGTTTTGTGTCAAAATCGGATGGTGCACATTTTAAATGTAACTTATCCGCACTTAAATTGGGTAACTCTAATTATCTTAACTGCAATTATTCTAATGTGATAATTGCATTCAATTTTGAATTTTTCCATGTTTTAAACCAAAATGACGGCTAAAATTACATTATCTTATATTTGTCTAGTGACTTCGAGTCATCACCCTGAGGGTTTAAAATTATGAAGATATATATATTTTTTTAAATAGACGGAACAGCTATGATAAATTGTAGGATTTTTTCAATATGTTAATTTTTGCTATAAAAACACTTTAACAAATGTAATTATTTAGCGATATCATGCATCCATAGATATTCAAACGTGATACGCAACCTCATTTTTTCGCTATTTTAGACCTCTGGAAGTAAGAGGCCTATTTGAATTTCTTGAAATTCTTTCGGTTGGATGACTACCTTTCAAGTCACAGTTCATCTTTTCTCTTTTTAAAAAGAACAGACTTAAGGTGAGCAGGCTGGCTGTATTTTGTGGCTTGAAAAATATTATGCTACATGGGATCTGTTTTCTGTTCTTGCACTAAACTGCACTAGAACTTTCTTTCTAGTTTCTCGCTTTTAACAAATATCAAACATATACCTTTTTCAATTTAAGATCCAAAAGTGTACACTAGTTCAGCCACAGAAAACAGATCTATGAAGAAGTAACAGTGCAATCTGAATCTATCATTAGAGGTGATCTGGCTAATGTCAGAACGGGTAGCTATTGTATTATTAGCAAGGATGCCGTCATCTGACGTATCAAGAAATTTAGCTGGAGGTAAGTAAAGTTTTTTATTATATTAATATATGTTATATTTCCAGTAAACGAGAAAATTTTGAAACATTTACAACGTTGCTGAAATATTTCAAAATTTTTCTTGCTTACTGGATTGATAGTTTTAATAGATTTAATAGACTAGTTTTAATATCAAGACTCGCAGCTTACAAACGAGAGCGAGAACTCTTTAATACAATTACGCTAAATGTTAAATTCTAAAGTGATAAACCCTGGATTATAGGTTTACCTTTTTTCCTCTAACAATGGGAAATCACGTATTTGTGGAAGAATCGATTATAGTCGTGAACGCAGCATTGGACAGTTCTTGTTTACGGAAAGAATGATATAATTGTACGTATAATAAATTTGCCAAATCAAGTGAGTATAGTGCAATTCCTTCACATTCAATCGTATTTGTCTTACTACAGTGCTGGCGGTCCGTTCTGAAGGACTGTTGCCACATTGAGGACAGCGCGGTCGTAACTAAAAACAATTGTGCCGTCTTTTATTCGTTTCTCTGGCAGTTCAATGACGTGCGTCGAAGAGCTGCCTGAGTGCACTCTGGATTATGGTAGACTTCACGAAGAATTACTATGAGCACTTCTCACCAGCACATGTTTAATGCTCTTGCTGTCAAATTATTTTCTTGGAGATCTGTGCTATATAGATAATAATTCATGTATACCACTGTCGGTGCTGATTTTAACTAAATCATTGTAATCGTCGTAACTCGTAAGATTTATTTCTTATACTTTATAAGCAATTAATTTCAACTGTACACGTGAAACAATCATAAAGGAAGCTTGTTTATTAATCACATTGTATACATTTATTTTATAAAATAATCTATTCTACACAGTGTTTCTCTACATAAAAAAGATTATTAAAAACCTCATTAAAGGAGGCGTAAGTGTTTCATAATTTTACATCAAATTAAATGACAACATATTATATTAAAATTATATCGATAAGTCACGTTTATTACTAAAGGATACAAACATCTAAAAAAGTAATAAGAATCTCTAATCAAGATTTTTATGAAGTTCATAATTAAATTAAACGCACTGCAACAGAAAGCTGAGGAAAATCAGATGCCTTAGAATTTCTTTCGAAGTAGTACACATTTCTGCAGGCATTTAATCAAGATATATCATGTTGGTTTTTGCATTTGACACTTTTTTAGTCGCGTTCATAGTTTGCCTACGAGAAAAGATAATAAATAGCGCAAGGCATGGTAACGAAGTTTCTCTTAAGGGGATGTTGAAGCAACGCTTGAACTTGATCAATGTCGATAGTACATATTTTTTAAATTGAAAATGTCCATTCCGTTTCTTGCAATTTTATTTTAGTACAGACATATCATAGCACATACATTGTTGCGTTACGCAATTACAAATGTGTATGTGTGCGTATATGTATATATATTTCTCTCTGTCTATTCTCCATTTTTTCTAACAATTTGGAACATCATCTCTCTCTAGCACCTTCTGTTA